TTTTTTCGGTTACTTTTTATTTATCTAATTTGTACCGAATATACATAATTACAAACATAACATTTTTTCCCACTTTTAAGAAAAACCGTTTACATCCCATACGATCCTTTGTAAATAGCCGTTTGTAACACACCGCTCGCAAGCAAGAGTCACGTTCGTTCGTGTAGTGAGCTTGGGCCGGCAATGCTTCTGCGAGAGAACTTTATCGTCTATTGCTAGCAATAAAGTTGCCATTGTAAAGCCCTAGCTAGGGACTTTTAACCGCGTTCTAGTCGACTTAGATGTCAAATTGTTAAAATGCTCTTGAAATTTCTTTAGCCCCGTTTTAGCAAATCCAGTCAGTTTTATTAATAAACATGTGTTACACAAATCTAATTAATTCCTGACCCTGTCTAGAGTAAATTGCCACCAAGGACCTAAAAACGGCCGTCAGCTCATCATTAGTTCAGGCCTTTGAGAAATATCTTTGGCTTACACTGGACTGTTAAGCCGTAAAAAGGATTTCTGCTGTTTGTAGTCAGCACCATTGCTTTACATCTACAATGACTTGGGTCACATTCTTGAGTGTGGCTTCAATTTGACCTCTAAAAAATTTACTTTCTTATTCGAAAGAGCTTGTGTGGCACTTTACCGTAGAGCATATGCCTCAGTGAAAGACATTTAAGCGATGTATGACGAAAGTAGTTGCTCTTTCTGATTACAAATAAATTAATTATATATATGATGAAATAACCTTGAATGTCAAAGAGGTCTACTCCAAACTAATTTCACATGTCTTACTGTTTATTTACCGCACAAACGTGTCGCACTTCGGGATTCTTCAGTGTACAAAATAGTAAAAAATGAAAACCTGGTTAAACCTGTTTTGTACACTGAAGAAGCCCGAAGGGCAAAACGTTTGTGCGGTAAATAAACAGCAAGACATATGAGAAACTGAAGTAGATCTCTTAGTGACATTCAAGAGTAGTATTTAAAGTTTAGTTCGAAACATCTTGAATCCTCCTGGATCCTTACTCACAACCGACATCCTTCGTTGGTGAACTTGATATTTTTCATCCACTTTATGTTATATATTTTAATACCAGGAATAATTGTTACTCACTATGAAGCATTTTTACTGCAACCACGTATGTTTCACTTCCACTGATAGTTTTCGAAGTTTTCTTCCACGGCTTCAAACAGAACCTCTGGTGTAAAGAGCTGGTTGGTTTAACTAGAGTTCCCTTGTACACCTTACCAAAGGCTCCCTCTCCAATCTCATCTTCAAGGGTCACAAGGTCTCCATCTACTTCCCAATTATCAATTATCAACCTATTTTTCCTGTGAAAAGAAAAGAGGAGGTAAGAATTTACTGTTGCAAATTTACTGTTGCAAAAGTTATAAAGGTTAAGAGTCGAGACCAAGTATATGTAGAAAAATAATTTTAAATCAGAAGATTAATTACAACCTATTTTAAATATCCCGGTTTAAACTGGCATACAAGCCCCCTTAATCAATTTTTAATTTTTGGCTCATACAAAACAAAAATTAGGAATGATTCTCAAGAGGTCTATCGCCCAATTTTTGAGCTCGTTCTTGGTAAGAAAACGATTTAAGAAATCACCTGTTTAGACTGGCTTAGAAGCAATTTTTTGTTCGCATTACCCAATGCAGCAGTGTTTTAAAAACTTGAATTTAGAATTTCATCATCCTTGGATTTTCTAGGAAACATTTCCGCACGTCTAAATTTAGATTATGAAGACATGTAGTATTCTTTACCCTGGAATAAGGCTTTTTTTCTTTAACATCTTCTGTTTTCTCCAGCGACGCCAGATAAAGATCATACAAATAAAGGTCACGAGCAGAAAACCAATCACAAGTCCAGCAATTAAACCAGACGTATAAAAACCCCTGCTAAGTGCCTCGTCTGCCTCTGGTAATAAAATAACATAGAGTATCAGCAACTAGGGAATTTTAGATACCACGACGTCATATTTCCCTTTTGTAGACAAACGATGTGATTTATAAAGGTCGATTAATATTCCATCGTTGGTAACTACGCCAAGATACAATAAAGATACATAATAGTAGTCTTACAAAGCACCAAGCCAAATGCCAAAGCTGAGCTTACGTTAAAAGTTCAAGAGAGGGAAAAGGTGTCATATAATAGATGGATCAATTATGAAAGGCATTTAATTATAGTAGGCGCAGACATTTTTCGGAATTCCAGCAGTTGGGTTTGGTAATGGAGAGAGATAACCATACGAAATCCCGAGGTTTGATCCTGGTGAATTTCCTTGTTTGTAGTCAAAACATTTCAAAAACAGTACAAATAAAGTTTTTAGGACCAGGGTAAACCCCACACTTCATATGAGCCTAACTTACTTTATATTTACAGTATGAGTCGACTTAAGATGTTAATTTCGGCTGTTGGGCTCAAACGCGACTAAACCTAATTTAGCCGAAACTATAAAAAAATAAAATAAAATAATACAAAATTATATAAAAACGTAGAACCAGGTTTTTTCTCTTGGCTGGCTTTGCAATACAAATTGATTGAGTTCGGCCTATGCAAGGCGTTTGACCCAAGTCTAAGTCGGTTAAACATACAGCATCGCTTGTTTCCAAAAATAAAAGTAAATGTACGTTTTTTTTATTTTTTTCTTCCTCTCAACTTTAATGAATTATTGCAACTCCTCTGGCATATATGGGGATGATAATATAAGCACGGACAGAGAGACAAAGATTGTCGCCTTTTCTACGTCGCATTAGAAAATTTGACGGTGTCGTGATCAAGCAGTAACAGCGAATGAATATAGGTACAAGGTGTCAGGCGTTACTAACGTTTTGCTTTCCTAACTTTCTTGCTGCCGTAAAATTTCGTTTCCTTCCGCTGGACAAGGGAAACGCGACATCTGAGACTGGGAACAGCGGCCACCGCCGTGAAATAGCTCAAAGAGTAGCAAAAAGGAGCTGTCAAGAGCTTGTTTGGTAATTTTTAACCAACATCCTACCAACCTATTTTGCATACAAATCATGCCAACTAAGGTCAAAACAGACCCCATAACAAAACTAATGCTTATTAAACCTTAAGGGCCCATTACCGTATCTCGTTGCTTGGTTACTCGCGGTTACTATGCAAGTGGAAATTACTTCCGGTTTTCGTATTTCGCACGTTTTTGGACTGCCGGAAAGGTAACATTATGAACAGCCTTAATCGTATTTATAGGGAAAAGTCTTGTCTATAGTGTGTTTTGACCAGGAAGACTCGTAATGACCTTATCTTCTCACGCTGTTTGCTGAAGCACTGTCTGCGAAGCTAACCACCTTGAGCTTTATAAGTTTATAGTTTTTTGGTCAAGTTTAAAGCTTTTCTTCTTTAATTTCATCAAACAACTGCTGTCGAGGTCGAAGAAGGTGAGATTTTTTGTTGATTGATTGATCAGGCTCGCGAGTTTACACATAGGTTTTACTGCAAATGTTATTTTCGTTCCTTGCACGAAGGCTCTTCGAGACTGACATCTTTTGAGTGACAAACTAATCTATTTTTCTGTGGGGAATTGTGAATATGTTTTCGTTTGTTTTTCATTCTGAAAATGTGGTTTTGATTGAACATGAAAAAGAGTAGGTGATACATGAGGACAAATTGCTTAAATCTCGAACACGTTGTCCAACCATGTGAGCGATGGTAAATGTTGATAATCACCTGGGGTTTCATTGGACCCCACTTGGTAGGATGAGGGTTAATTGAGAGCAAGCAACAGGCCTAATAGATCATTATCAACAGAAAACAACTTAAGATATGTATCACATAATTTAGATCCAAGCTTTGGTTTTCGGGAAAAATGATCTTTTTGAGACTCATCATCAGACTATCAAAATTTATTATTTAAAACAAAAGAAGAAAGTACCTGGAAGAAATCTTTTCCAGTTGGTTTCATTATCTTCTTAAAGCACATTTCGCTAACTAGCCAATTTACAGCTGGGAATGAAAATAGTCTTTGAGGGCTTTACTTACAGTGATCTATAGTCGCCTTATGTTCACTCATTGTCACAGCAAAGGCCAGGAACAACAACAAATATCCGACTAATAAGGAAACAGGCCTAGTTCACAGTTATCAGTGATCCTCTGTCTAAAATATTCTTCGTACATTAAACCAGTGTTGAGCTTTGTCAGCAAGCTCATGTACCGCTCAAATTTGTATAGAACTGTTACAGTTAGAAGTCGTCGCTGGTTTGTGGTTTACCACGACAAGCTCGACGTTTGAAACTCGCAGTATTCCGCTAAAGCCGATTGCAGACTGCTAACCAGACTGCCAAAATTCACTGAAGTCCTAAATCTCGCTGAAGATGGAACAAGATCACAATCTTGAAGATTCTGACCGACTTTATCATTCCTGTTGTTGTTGTTGTTGTTTTTTTTTTTTCATGGTTGGAGGACAGTTACATACAATATATACGCCACAAATTTCTTACTTGGTTCTGTTCTAACAATTGAAATCTTAGCAGCAACTCCCGTTACGACGGACGCGTCGAAAACAGGAGTGACCTGAAAAGAAAAAAGACGGCATTCCATGGTCAGGGTTTTGACTACAGCCACTCTAATAATATCACTCTAATCACATTTGCAATACTTAATAGCAAACTAACTCACAAACTAATTAACCAGATGGATAAACCAAAAAATAAAGAAACTGACAAATTTTTTCATTCGTTTAACAAAAAGGACAAATAAAAACTCAGTAAATGCCCACTAGCACTGGATAATTCAAAGCATATTAAGGGACCACCTTCTCAACGACAAATCGGATATTGGTGCCCATGCATTCTGGTTTTGATGCCCGCGTGCTCTGAAGCGTTTAGTAAGTCATTTGTACGGGCAGCATCCAAGTTTGGGAGAGAAGGGTTTTTTGGTTAGATACTAGAATAAGAGCCTTTTAAATGGCACCCTCTCTTAAACAGGTGCTTATTAAAGTAATAATCGCCTCTTCCCAATAGCCAAACCCCTAGAGTTACCAGACTACCTGTTTGAAGGGGATCCAAATTATTCAGAATTAAGATCAATCAAGCGTGACCTGAGTTTAGAGCGGACTACAAATGCGCAACTTGTTTGAGATAGGTTAGATGCCCAGTTTTGTTAGTTCTAAGGAATTTCCTATTAAATAATTTCTCACAGAGAAGATTATACTGTTAATAACAATGTAAAATTTCGGCCCTAACGATATTAAACAAAATTTGTTAGTAATGCAGAGTTGCAAAGACTCAAACTTAGTAGGCCACCCTTCATCCACTCACCTGAAATTCGACCCTCTCGTTAAGGTAAATTCCATCTATTTTGACACTGGTTTCTGTCTGTAACGAATATACAATGAAACAAACAAGCAAATTGGAACGAAAACTGCTATAAAAACCCGTTTTTATTTTGCTTCCTTTGTGTAATAGGTCACAATTAACTTCAGGGAAAAATTTTTTACCTAGGTAAATATGTATATTTTTAAATTTCCTTTGTCTCCTAGCCCTAATTATGGGCGGGTAATCCCTCATCGCACAACCCTCCCCCCATCCCCCTCCATCGATCTGCATAATTCTTCATACCATGTAGAGCCGAATCTAATAATTATTTTATTTCATTTCCAGTTTCAACAAAACATGCTTACCTCGACCCATTTGTAAAGTTTCAGTCTTCAAAATATTTGTCTGTTCCTTGGCAGTTTTAACTTATGAATAGATGTTTATTCTAGTAGACATTCTTCGTCCGTTCATCCGTATTTTTGCTATCATTACTATGTTTTTGGCCAGTAGTACGGCTATTTTGTCTTCGTAAACGTGTGAGTTAAATCTTCCAGAAATTTTGACGCTCTGCCAACACAGCTGAACTACCGCGCGTTCCCCCTTCCCCTTTTCTCTCGATTTCTGTACAACTGCTGTCGGCAAACGTCTTCCAGATTAATTTGGTCAACGCAACCTGGTTACGAAGAATTTGCTAGGCGAATTAAACCAATCATAGACGCATTAATGAATGAGTGAATAATAAAATGAATGATCATTGTTTTTAACGAGTGTAAATTACACGTTGCACTTTATGCGACGAACGACCGCGAGAATCGTGCGAAAATGGTTTAGGACCCATCTTTTACAGCAGATTGTACGGTTTAAACTTTTTTATCATTTTTCCACATGCTCATTTTTAGCTATTAATGTGCGTTTTGCATGTGCCGGTCTGACTCGCAACGTCAAAGCCGGCGTCAGTTGACCGCAAAAGGTCAAATATCTGCATTTTCAAGAATTTTGAAAAGCTCTCGCGTCGTTCGTAATGATTTGCCCTTTTTATTTTTTTTTACAGTAGTCTGTAGATCGTCCTTCTAACATTCAACCAGCAGAAGCTTAGTCGATTTGAATGTTTCGCGCATTGTGAATTTTTCTTTCACACCTAACTTTTGTTGAAGTAAACTGTATGCCTTCGAAATTGAATTATTCTGAATACAAAGAACAACGAACTGTTTTCCAAAATCATTTTCACAGATATTTAGAAGTTTTAAAAGATGACTGTAACAATATTTTAAATTCGGTAAAATGATTTGTTTTTATTTGCACGCGAGGCTCTCAAACCCGTGTAATAGTTGAGCGCCTCAAATGGCAATTTGAACGGATTTTGGTTTCTTCCTTTTACCTCTGAAATAAAAACATATTTCACCGAAAAAAAAAACATACAGTTATTTTAGTTATACCCTAGCCTATCTAACATGAAATCTAAATGAAATACAATCGAATTTTCAACCTTTGCCGCGATATGTTTGATTTTTACGGACAGGCGCCTTTAATTCCTATTTGGAATGACCGTGTAATCGAATTTGGTATAATTGAATTATTCAAAGTTTCGTCGCAGTTAATGCTCTCATATGTCGGCTTACTGACAGCAGCAACAAAAAAGTAACTCACCGTTGTATTTTCGTTGTTGAGACGAATAGCTCTTCGTTTCATCTGCCCCTTGATTTCCTCGGTAGTACCGTATACGTAATAGCTGACGTTGCTTAGTGTAAAAAGTGGTTTCTCCCATTTTACTACCGTGCTGAATGAGGTAGAGGAACTGGGAACTAGTTCCTCGTTCTTCAGTCCACGAACTGCTAACAGCTCCGCCCTTGGTGCTAGGTAAGTGGTGTTGTATTGCATTTCAAAGTTAGGGAAAGATAATATAGAAATTAGGAACCTTAGGATTCACCGCGTTTGCCTACGGGTAGGAGAACATGTTTGCCACGTAGGTTTTTTTTTTAAGCAGACCATGATTTCCCCAATCGTTCTACAAGGTAATGTAGGGGTGCTTGCCATTTACGCAAACCACCCAGTGGAAATTTTGTGCATAAACATAAAACTATAGAATTTGAGGTGGTGGGGGAACGACCTACCACAAAGTATCTCCGAATCAGCTGAACAGACTGAAAAAGAGAAACTTCCCAAACGGAATGGCGCGAACCATTTGATTTTCTTACCACATTTTTTGATTTCCCCATGTAAATGTTAACTACCCTGGATATGTGCCTGGATAACCCCTACCTGTTCACTTTAACGTGTCTTAATGTCTCCGTTTAAAATCGCTTTTACGTCATAGGGCAAACGTAAATTCGTAGTACAAGGCCAAGTTTTCCTACTTACGACTGCAATAAATGGTGGAATCGATTATTGCAATACTTGGATCAGTATGTAACAGTGAAAAAAATGATGTCTCCGCTCATATGTGCCAACCGTCGTCATTAAACTTGTAAATAGGTTTTGTACGGTCCTTTTCGGCTTAACGGAAAAGGGTCAGCGCACTCAAGGTTTAAGTCTGCTTCCACAAGCTCAATCAATGCTTTCCTCTGGTCGTTATTATCTAACCTGGTGCAGTTTCCATTACTTCACTTTCTATCTTCTGGATATATCTGTTTTCATACATTGGTGTAACCTGAAATACAACACAAGTTTCCATCTAAGATAAACAGAGTCTTATTAGGGAATCAATATTCTTTATCCTTTAGCTTTTTCAAAAAATATATATATATGATAAAGATAAAGGTGAGCCTTGGGCCAATTATAATTTATATTTATAATGAGAATAATAATACATAACGGAATCCATAAACGTCATTTTAAGAAAATCAGTGCAATTTAAGATTTTGTTTTGAGAAAAGCAACGAAGAAACCGAACATGAATTTTTCAAACTAGGAGTACTTTTTTTTTCCCGATCAGTGTCAAGAGAAACGCACAGATCATGTTTCCCAAAAAAGCTGGAAAGGATTCAATCTGAGTATCCTCTGATAGTTTGGACAATGAAAGCGGCAGGAAATAGGACTTGCATAATTACGTTACAACCGCCTGAGCGATTCTTATTCCCTCCTCAACATGACTCAACCTCAAATAGTTTGTGTTTGGGTTCTATTTGTCCTACGTATTCAACACAACGTGATTGCCATATTGGCCAGGCCTGCGCGGTACCATTACGACATCTGCCAATCCCCCGTTTTGTACAGATGTAGAAAAAAAAGTAAGCAAACGCTAAAATTCAACAATAACGAAGCTTAAGCTTAAGTCTAAAACAAAATGTCAAATGTTCGCTAGTAGTCATTTTAGCGTGAAACATTCAAACCCTAAGAATAAAATTGCTGATCAAGGAGTGATCATTACTCCTTAACCTTTGTTGGGACCTGAGTCTTTTGCCCAGACCTTGTCGTGTGGCTTCGCTGTTGGAAGTAAGACTAATTCGGAGTCTGTCCCGGATTTGAGTGAACTATAGGGACTTGAATGGTATGGGGTTCCACGGCGCGTAGCGCTGACTGTGTTGAGGCAGCTTGTCGGTTTCGGGTCCTACCGCGGGTACCGCAGATGAGGCTGAGGCAGTTGTCTCAATTGAGTGTGGAGTCACTTGCATTTCAGCTGTGGGCTGAATGACCACCACTCTCGGTGTCTCTTGGGAAATGACTGGTACGGGGGCGTATACAGCGTTCTACCTAGAAGTTCTACGGGGTGTCTGGATGACTCGTGGTCGCAAATATCCCCTTGTTCGCTGGTAAAGTTTGCCTTTTATTTCAACTATGCATGTTTTTGGTTCCCTGCTAGGCTTCGGGAGGTTAAAGACCTTGCCGAGTTCCCAGATGTGCTTGAGCGAGTTTCAGACGTACACTGGCTCGTTGCTGCTGAAGGCTTGTTTATCACAGCTTGTTGCCCCTTGTAGAAACCTGACTGCTTTGTTTGTTTCCACTAATTGGCTTCTCGGTGATGATCTTTGATAGGATTCTGTGATTGTACACTGGAATCACTGCTTGAAAGGACTGCCTTTGGCCCTCTGCCAAACAGAAGCTCGTAAGGTGATGGCAAATGATCATCGAGGGGAGTGATTTTGTACATCCAAAGGAGGGCATGAGGACACTGCTTACTTTCAATTGCTTTTTTCCATATGGACTTGAAGGTAATAATAACTTAATAATCTGTCTGATCTGATAGGCTCTTTGCTTCATGGTGGTAGGGAGAACTAGAAGCTAGAATGATGCAACTCTGTTTGCACTAGTTCTTGAATTTCTTGCTAATGAACTGGCTTCCAAATTCAGCCACGATGAAAGATGGTAGGCCGTATTCTGCAAGTACGCTTGTGAAATGATCTGATATGGTGGACGCTGACATGTAATTAAGGGGCCTAACGATAGGACACCTTGAGTAATAGTCCACAATCATCAGGTATTTTGGTCCATTGAACTCGAAGATATCAGTGCACAGCTTCTATCATGATCTCGTAGGTAGTTGGATTGGGTTGGATTGTTGGTAGTCTCTGTTGTGCTTGTTGGTACCTGTTACACGGCTCACACGCTTTACTATCTGGTGGATGTCACTTGAGATGCTGGGCCAGAATTTAGACTGCCTAGCAAGAAACAGGCATTTCCTTTCTCCTTGATGGCTGTTGTCAATTAAATCCAGAACCTATCCTCGCAGATTCTGTCTATTCTATCGCTTTTGAGAATCAGGCTATCCTCCAAGGTTAGGTCACACCTGTGATTCCAGTATTCCCATAATTCCTTTGGGCACTCAATCCTTTGGCTTGGCCATCCATTTGTAGGTGATTTTTTAACACGTGTATTTGACTGATCCTTTGCTTGCTAGCGCTGACCTCACCAAATCGATGCTCATAGGATAGGACCTGGATGTTGAAGTCAGGTTTGCACCACTCACTATTCTGACTCGCAAAGGTACGTTCTTCTTTCTTCAGACACATGAGTGACAGGGCATCAGTGACAGGGATGTTTTCTTTGCGCCGGTACCTGAGTTCAATTTCAAATTTCAGGCATCTCAAGAGCAGTCTTTGCAGTCGTGCAGGAGCGTCGGCGATGTTTTTCTTGAAGATCTCTGTTAGTGGTGGGTGGTCGGTCTCAACAAGGGAATGCATTACTGGTGCCGAGAGCGTCCTGGTCGGACGTGTTGTAGATCGCTATAGGTTCTTTACTAAATATTTCAACTATTACCGGGACAGAAAAACTAAGGAAAGAAAACCAAGCGTTACGAAAAAAAAAAAAAAAAAAAAACGTCTGATATAAAGAACCAATTGAAGAAAATTACTGAAGAAATTTCGCAAGCGCAGCTGCAAGCTTCAACTAACAACGGGGAGCATACTGGACAGAAGATGACGAGGAAATGTCACCAGGCAAAGAACATTCTGTATAATTTATGTCTGATCAGTTTGACGGCTTTACTTCTTTAAAAATTGCTGCCACTAAACAAATCCTGCGGCTGACAAAGATAATTGATGAGATATCTATAATTTGCGATCGAAGTGCGAAATCTCTTCACTTTTGTTACCAATACAACGTTAAAATCGTTCGATTACCGGTCGTAGCAGAGAACGAAACCTCCGAATAAACAACGCAAATCTGCCGAAAACTTTTTTCTGTTACAGCAAATTTAATGATTTTGATATCGCTCATCGAGTTCCTCCTCGCACAACTTCAACAGACCGAATGCTGTGATCTGTAAATTCGTTCGAAGGATTGCTGAGGATAAGGTCGTGGCTAAAAGAAATGAAGCGTCGAACATAGCGGCATCGGAGTTGGATTTTCCAGTCAGTGTGGACATCACACACATTAGTTGGTTACGACCACTTAACTCAAGGACTGCAGGAACTTCTAGAACGAGAGTAACAGAGATAATTACAAATTTTGCTGGATAAAAATGTAGTTCCCGACCTGCGAGAATCCAAGACATCAGCAATTGTGAGGTTAAAAACTCCCGTGGCCTTGCAAGACATTATTGGAGCTTCATAACAAGTTAGGTCAATATTCAGTTTCGTTTGACTTTTGCTAAATGAAGGTACTTAGAAATAAGTCTGTGGAGAAAGATTCTAAATCTACACTCTGCTGCTTGAACTGGAGTTTCCCTGAGTTGAGGCTGAAGTTGTTGACTCGAGTGGCAGTTAACATGTTTAGGAAGGTTTCGTCACGCTCTTCTTGTGTGGAACCAAAAACGATGATGTCATCTATGATTCCTGTGACATTAGGTATATTCCTGTAAATGTCATCCAATCTTCGTTGGAAGATGTCTTGGGACACAACTATGAGGAACGGTAGGCGTTTGAACCTGCAACGACCAACTGGCGTATTCAAAGTACATAGCGTGCTAGAATCGGGGTCAATCTCTACGTGCCAGTAGCCTTTAGTCGTGTTCACTACGGAGATTTATTCTTTTCCATGAAGAAGGAGAAGGATTCGTCAATTCTCCTGCTGTAGTAATGCTCTCGCCCAATGTTCTTATCCAAGTCTATAGGGTCAAGGCACAGTCTGACCTTCTTCTTTCCATCTGATTTTTCTTTGACATTGCAGACAAATCGAGTTAACCCAATCGGTCGGCTCTGTCACGTCTGCGATGATGTCGCCTGCGATCATCTTATCCAATTCATACCATTTTATACCATTTTATGCAGTGGTAATTTGTGAACCGGTACTGAGCGCGGTGGGTGGACTACTGACTTAGGGTTGTCTATAAGCTGGACGTGATATTTGTCGTCTGGAAATATGCCGATCTTGTCAAAACAATCCTTGTATTCCTCGAACACAGTAGATTTTGAAAGGCTCATCACGAAGGCACCTGGTTTTTCTTGGGGTCGCGCTTGAGGGGTGCAGTGCTCCTGGATGTTTAAAGTTGTGATGATAATAATAATAATAATAATAATAATAATAATAACAATAATAATAATAATACTTATATAGCGCCGATATCAATATTGCTATTTTCATCAGCGCTTAAAAGTAAAAATATTAAAAAAATTCTAAGACTGCATAAAGTATACATGCAAAAAGTGCATGAACCTACCAAAAAAAGTAAAACAATTATGTCAACACTAAAACTATAAAAATTACCTAGACTACTTAAATCGTAAAAACTGCATAAAACCTATTAAAAACGAGATTAAAAAGCAAATAAAAACACAAAAAAACTCTCTGCAATACAAATGTCTTGAGTGTCTTTTTAAAAGATGCTACTGAGGGGCTACTCCTAATTGAATAGGGCAATGAATTCCATAGTTGAGGACCAGCAGCAGTAAAAGATCGATCTCCTAACGTTGTTAAAGTCTTGAATTTCAAAGGGTTTAGTAGCAGTCCATCACAATCGGGGCGTAACTTGTATTTACATGCTTCTTTAAGACCAATAAGTTCCTGGAGATAAAAAGGCGCTAAGCCATTGATAGCCTTATACGTTAACAACAATATGTTAAAGTCAATTCGTAATTTAACGGCAACGGTCTTACCTGGCAGTATTTAGATTCCAGGAAAATTAACCTAGCGGCAGCATTTTGGACTTTCTGTAGTTTATTAAGCTGGTAAGCTGGCAGGCCATAGAGCAAGCTGTTACAATAGTCGACACGACTTGAGACAAATACGTGAATGAGCGTCTCAGTGGACCGCCTAGAAAGATATTTCCTAATTCTTCTTATATTATACAAGTAATAAAAAGCATTGGAACAAGTGTTATTTACATGAGAATTCGTTGAAAGAGTCGAGTCTAACCATGTCCCTAAGTTCTTAACTACCCCCTTTGGTCTAATTACACAGTCTCCAATTAAAATATGATCAATATTAACTTTGGCTAGTTGTTGCTTGGTACCAATCATTAGGAATTCTGTTTTATCGTCATTGAGAAGTAGTTTATCATTGGTCATCCAATTACGTATATCATCCACACAGTGCTGTATAGCAGTGACAGCCTCAAATTGCCCGGTGCTCATGTTTGGACTGAAAGACACATACAACTGCGTGTCGTCAGCGTAGCAGTGAACCGTGGGAAGGTGCACCTTGATAACATCAAACAATTTGCTTACATAAATCGTGAAAAGCAATGGCCCGAGGCAAGAGCCCTGCGGTACTCCGAAGTCCAAATTCAAACGCTGAGATAAATTTCCTTGGACCATAACACGCTGAGATCTTCCATTAAGGTATTAACGGAACCATTCAAGTGCCGTTCCAGATATACCAAATTTTGAGTGAAGCCGACTGAGTAAAACACTGTGATCCACAGTATCAAATGCCGCACTAAGATCTAATAAAACCAGTAGTGTTACATGCTGTTTGTTCATGTTCAGCAAGATGTCATTTTTCACTCTCAGCAACGCTGTTTCTGTGCTATAATTCTTCCTATAAGATGACTGATAGGTCAGAGTCGTCAGCTGATTATGGATGGGTGGCCTGGGGCCTCGACAATATTGAACTTCGCGGAAGCTGAATTGCCTTTAAAGGTTATCTTGAAGCTGGAAATACCTAAGTTGAATATGGTGTTTCCTCCTCTCTTCAGAACAGCATTGCAGGGCTTGAAGTCCAGACAAAGACCGAGTTTTTTGTAGGTCACCCGCAATCAAGAAACAAGTGTCTGCTCCAGAATCAACCTTCACTGGGATGCAGCGGGTATCGTTACTCTTGACTCTCGGGGTAAATACTCATACTATGCACTGCATTGTAAGACGTAACAGTACCAAGGCCTACTGTAATTGGTTCAGAGTTGTCATCGCTGCCTTCATCATAATCCGTGTCTTTTCGCCGTTTACCTGATCGTTTGCAGGTATATTTCCTGGTCTCTGTATTCTGGGCATTGTACAATCTCTTTCTTTCTTTTTTTTTTTTTTTTTTTTTTTACTTTTTTATAAAGTTTTTAATTTTCCTTTCCTAAATTTTATTATTTTTTTTTTTTTTATTGACAAGAAAAAAATTAATTACAAATACTTGTTATTTTAACTATGAAAATATATATATCTATATGGCAAAAAACAAACTAAATTTGTAACTAAAAAAAAACAAACAAACAAACTAAATTCAAAGGAAAAAGACGCAAACCTGATAAGTGAAACAGTATAGCAGTAAAGTGTAGCTTGAAGGAAATGACACTAGCATTCACGTATCTAAAGAAGTTTGTCCCATGTTTTTTTGGAATTGCGATAAGCAGTTAGATCTAAAAGCTATGGTGCGAAGAATATCAATTTTGTTGTTGAGACGCAGCAGAAAACTGTCAAAGTCCAGGACGCCGTTGCGTACGCTTGTAGCAAAAACATTACATTTGGCGAAAATCAAACAGTAATTATGCACTTCACAGTTATTTGATTGTTTGTGCCAACCATATAAAATAGTGCTTTCAGATAAAGTCAGTTTTTGATTAAATTTTTCGTGCCACCAGTTAGAAAAACAAGTCCAAAACGAAGAGGATACACTACAGGTAATTAACATATGTTTTAGAGATTGACTTTCAAGGTTGCATAAAGGACAAACATCAGTATCAGTTATGCGCGCGCGGAAGAGGCTAGATTGGGTAGGTAAAATGTTGTGAATAATTTTGACTTGGAACATGGTCAATTTTGGTTCTTTCAAGATTTTAAACGGGAGCATGTAGATGTAAGGAATTTCCTCTTTGGTGAATCCATGATCTAGAATTCTGCCTTCAGCAGTGGGTGCTGAGAAGCTTTTATCAAGTATAGAAGAATAGGCTTCTTTTGTGGAAAAAAGCTTCAAGGATGTTTCGCGCTTTTCAGATTCATCATGCACGCCTGCTTTGACTTTCACTTGTCTTGGTCGTTTCTTCATGCACCCTCTCTGAAAATGACCTGTTTTCCCACAGTATTGGCATTTAGCACGGGCAGCTGGGCAAGTATCATTAATACTATGTTTATTCCCACACCTGAAACATCCATTGAATTTCAATTTGAACCTGGACTTGTCTGCAGGTGGTACTTGCTGTCGCGAGTCATCCTTCCGTCGATTTGCGCCGATGCCATATGCTCGGTTAAAGCTGTGGATGTATCTGGCTTCTTTTTTCTTCTCACAGAGTGTTTACTTGCATCATGGCCTGCCTGTGCAATTGCTTGAATTTGCGCCTTCGTGCTTTCCTCTGTCTTGGCTAGGTCATAGACTTGTTTGAAAAGTGAGAGAGTTTCCTTTGGAAATGGCATCCTTCCTTCCAAACAACAACTTGTTCCCGAGGGTTTCCTCTTTTAATGCATGGTCGTAGCCGCTGTCGTCACCCAGTGTTCGGGCCTTAGTCTGAAATTCTCCTGGGGGCATGTCTCTTTGTTTCCGGCATCGTAGTTGGTATCTTGATACGAATTGATTGCTCTGGGGGGTTGTGTGTATGCTTCAAATTTGTCAAATATTGGTTCTAGTTTGAGTTGGTCCTCGTCACTTGACCATGTAATTGTATTATATAGATTTCTAGGCCTTTATCGCCGGCCTAAAGTAAAAGCAATCTCGCCTATTTATCCCCCGCTTTGTTTGGTAAGGAGTTGTCGAGGATAAGGTGGCATTTTAGTTTGAAAATTTTAAACCTCTTGGGTAGGTCTGCGGGAGTCGTCCAGTCCATCGAGAGAGCCGTAAACTTGTCCATGGTTGACATTTAAGAGATAAGAGAAGATAAGAAAATAAGAACAACTTTATTTTTCCACGCTAGCCTAAATCCACAAAAGCTGGTTTCCATCAGGGGCGTGCATGAATCGATAACTAGTAAATAGTAAATACAAAATATGAATTTGTACAATCTAAGGTAAACGCTACAAATATTGTAAAACTTATACTCCATACATTAAGTATTCTAAAAGAGAGCGATAGAATCTAAAATAAATTTTATACTACGCATAAACATAAACATAAAAATACTAACAAGACGTATTATCTATCAAGGTTCTAATTAAGGCCTATGGGATTTCATTTTAGCTTTAAATGACGCAAGAGTCTCACAACTTTGGATCTCCTCTGGTAAATCATTCCATATCTTAGCTCTATTATAACTTGCCCTGTTTTAGTAGGAATCTCTTTTGGGTAAAGGAAGGGCAACCCTTTAAGTTGAATTTCTAAGATTATCATTACTATTGATTGCTTGGGCTTCTGTAAAGATATTTGATAGTCTGGCTGGTGTCAAGCCATGAAGAATTCTACACATTACTTTAGCTTTGTTTTTGGTTCTTCGTTCGGCAAGAGAGATCCAACCTCGGCCTCGCATGGCACTTTCTGATTGACCAGTCTCCTTTCTGCAGTTCATAGTCACTCTTGCACATCTATTCTGAAGCCTCTGCAAGTCGGTCAAGGCCATCCCCAAGTGAATCCCAAACTTCGAAGCAATAGTCAAAGTGAGGTTGAGCCAGCGCATTATATACAGATACTAATGTTTCGCGATCTGCAAAATCCTTTAATCTTCTGAATGCGCTGATTGCACACGAGATTTTTTTGGTTATTTCATCGATGTTTTTCCCATGTAAGAGATTCATCGATATGTACATAAAGAATTTTGATCTTGTGAACTCGTTCAACATGATCATTCTCAATGAAAATGTGTGGTAGTTCTAGAGTATTAATTACTGGTTTGGGGCCAATAAGCATATATTCAGTTTTAGCTAAGTTAAGGTTCAGCTTATTAGCTGCCAGCCAATTTTTCATGTTAACTACATCATGGTTTAACGTCACTTCTATTTCATTAACTAATTTTCCTGCGACTGTTATGCTCTCGTCGTCTGCAAAAAGCCTAGGTGTGGCATATTCCAAACAGTTAGGTAAATCATTTATATATATTAATAGGAGAGGTCCGAGGATCGACTCCCGCAGAACCGCGCGATGTATCTTCCTTAGTTGAGAGGAGATACCATTCACCTGACATTTTTGCTTACGATCTGTTAAATAAGAACTCAGCAGGTCAAGCGCACTATCTGTGATGCCATAAGCCACGAATTTATTTAAAAGTATCTCATGGTTCACAATATCAAACACTTTTTTAAGATCTAGGAAAACACCCATATTGTAAAGGCAACGATCCATGTTGACATACCACTTATTTGTGCAATCTAACAAAGCCGACGCAGTCGAGTGAAACCGTCTGAAACCAAACTGGTGATCAGTCAAAATAGTTTCATTTTCTACGTATTCCGTTAGTTGTTCATATAAAATCTTTTCATAAATTTTGCTGATTACAGGAAAAAATTGGTCTGTAGTTGTCAGGCATGTTTCGTGGACCCTTCTTGTGAAGGGCGTAACACTAGCTATCTTCCATTCGCAAGGCATTATTCGTGAGGTAATTGAATGGTTAATTATTACCATTAAAGGCCAGGAAATCGCTGGGGCGGTTAATTTTGCTGAAATTTTCTCTATTCCCATGGCTTTCGATAGCGACAAAGAACTGAGAAGCTTATAGACTTCAAAAACATTAACAGTCTTATATGAAAAGAACTATCTGACCTGGGAATAAACTTATCGTGATCGCAGCCTGGATAATTGATTTTTTCAGCAAATGACCGGCCAATATTAGTAAAATGTTCGAAAACTAGTTAGCAATATCTTCCGGGATGGAACTACGTGGTTTTATAACTTAATTTCACCAATAGTATCATGCTGTTGCTCATCTCGCCCGAGAATATTATAATTGACGATTCTCCATGCTTGCTTTGGATCGCCACATTCATTGTCAAGTTGATTAGCCTAATAATTCGATTCTTCTTTTCGCAAAGCAATCTTTACAACATTTCAAGCGGATTTATATAGATTCCAATTATCTTCGGTTCTCTTTATTGTAGCTATACACTTGAGACGGTCTCTCCCGGGGGAGACTGGCTCCTTTGTTTCTAACTCCCTTTGTTCGAATTGGGGCCTGCTAATCCAAACCGTCTAGAAACATTGTTGCCCAACACATCCACATCGCATTAACGTCGTTTTCAAGATTTACACAGGCCCTGCCAGGATAAATTCCGACAAGCGACATGACCCTAAAAGTAGAGACAGAGCGTATTCATTTGGAATACTCAGATCAAGCCTAGTTTTGTTAAGGGCTAAAATATGAAGTACCCCATGCTGAAGTATGATCCTAATTTCGTCTATATACAACATCAAACTTAGAACATTTAGTGCTGCCATTTTAAAACCTCGCAGTTTATATAGAGTAGACCATTCATTATTTTTACTAGGTGATTTAAGTCTGTGGTCATTAGGCGATCCAGACGGCAAAACGTATGTATCAATAACAGGTCAGTGATAAGTATGTAAGCAATTAACTAAATTATTAAAGAACATTATTAACTTTATCATTTTACAGAAGTCCACTCTTATTTAGGTCATTAGACGTAATGTTCTGATGCTGGACAAGTTGCCGCTTGTTCTGATTGTAAAATTCACGGTGAACCACTTTCTTGCCCAAATTCCATCCGTGTATTTGCTTGATCATGGAGTCGCCAACTAGCACAGTTGTAAAGTTGTTTTGTGCCCTATCAAGGTGCCGATCAGCATTTTAGTGGGAAATATTATCCTCCTGATCGAGCGATACGAAACGATTAGTTGAATTAACTGAGATCTTTTTGGCCTGTTCGAGCATTTCTGTTTGGTCTTCGGGGTTTCACTGTTTCAAAAGAATTTACGTCGAGTTGATCACGATTCTGACTACCCGATTCTTTAGAACTTGAAGGGCAGTTCTATACAAGTTACGTTTGTCAGAAATTTTTACCCGTTTAGCTGTTTCCTCGAGTAGCAACTCTTTTAGCATTTTAACTTCATTGCACAAGTCCTCATTCTCTTGTTTAAGGGTGTTAATGAGCTTTGCATCACCTTCCCTTTGTGTCTGATCGTTCTCCTCAAGTGGCAAACCTGCTCGCATATTTATCTTCGATAAAACTAGATGGCGAAAATCATTAAATCGATGCTCAAGGTTTTTCAAATCTGATATTACTGAAGAACAAACCTTGCAGGGAGCCATCGCTGATGGAGGAATTAAAAGTCTTGAACCTTGTACAGAGTTGACCGATGAAAATTCCTCCGAAGAACTGAAAACAACTTAAAGCATGTCGGCGCTGCTAGTTTGTGGTAGGGCAAGCAGTTCATCTTTTGAAGAATAACCCTTGGCCAATTTTGCTCGCAAAGAGGCAAAACCAGGTCCTTGAGACTGAAGCGTGTTCGTAGTCGAATACCATTTTATAATTTTGAAATTATATACGAAACCGAATTGAATGGCGAATCGAAGCTATAGGTGTTTGTTGATATCGCTGGGCTTATGTTTGAACTTCACGAGTACTATATATGCAGATTTGGCGTCAACGAGCGGATCGATTGAGTTGAATTCGGGCTTTATAAAGCTTAATTGACTTGAAAGATATCTGTATCCTGTCTTGAAATGTTTCTTGTAAATCCATTGCCTGTTTTCTTGAGCTATACCGCTTCTGACGCCATAGAACAGTTTGTATTTGGGTTCTATTTGTCCTGCGTATTGAACACGTGTTAAGGTCGCCTTATTTGCTTAAGTTATTTCGGGGCCAGGCCCGCACGGTATCATTATGACATCTGCCAGGTTCTCGCAGCCAATACTATGACGCAACCAATGAATACTTTTGTTAGATTTTAGTCAACCAATCAAAAAGCGAGCCATTCATCGTAATAACTGGTAAACCTGTGCAACGGATTAAACCGCCTAATAAACTCACATTTCCCTATCTTAATGAGATTCCTCCGCATTTCATTCATGGGATAAAGAGAAAAGGCTGTGACATAATTAGCAATTAATGACTGCAGCTGAGTAAGATATGAAGAATTATATACGCAGATCGAGGAGGGCGTTATCGGCCGAGGTAGATAACACCCTCTGAGATCTGCATAATTCTTTCTATCCTACGAAAGCCGAATTCATTAATTGTTTTATTATTCATTCAAAATAATTCCTATTTTAAAAACAAGCTAAAACATGCTTACCTTCGTCGATGTTAAGTTCACCTCGATAGTGCATGTTTAGAAGATAAGGGACTTTTCAAGTCTGCAAATATACTCCAAATGGCAGATGTTGTCCGTCGAGTTGTCTTCTTGCTATGTTTTTAGACAATAATTCGTCGTGAAACGAGTAAAATGTTCCACCGACTGGTCGGCCATTTTTCTTTTCACAACCAAAACAACTCAACCTCGTCCCCAGGTCTTCTCTGTTAACGGTGCATTAACCTGCAACTGTACTGCACTTTTGACGTCATCGGTTGATTAATCGCAAAAGTCTTCCAAATTTGGTCAACAGTCGCTGGTTATGGTGAATTATGCGTGTGCCTTTAGCCAATCAGAAACTGAGAAATATTTTGAATGAATAATAATCGACGTTAATGTATTATTCCTGCCCTCCTTAATGAAATTCCTACCCCAATGAAGATGTAAAACATACCTACCATACTACTCACACAACTTGTGTCTAAATTATATCGGCCACGCTTGGCTCTGGGGTGATTTGAAGTTATTCTTTTATCGTACCTTTAATCTAACAGTCTCCTTTGGCCTTATCTCAGATAAGTACAGCTCTGGTTTTGTCTGTGAACGAAGGCGGAAGAGAATCAGCCATGACGTTCTGAGGAATAATCCAGGCTAAACTATAAATACATGATACTTCTAAATCATAGTTAACTGCTATTGGTGCTGTAACGCAAAAATCCTCAGTAAAACACGGTGTGAAAAAACATATTTTAATCACCGTTACAAGATACGCAGTCTTCGCAACTTGTTGCAACCTACGTCACGTGACAAACAATAGTTACTTTGAGGTGTACCCGCGGATAATCACCTCACTCTACAGTGCTATTAGATAGGTTTCTTGCCTTTTGTCAACAAATTTTTAGGGAAAAAAAAATTTAAAAAAGGGGCTCCAATTTGCGATCCAAAATAGGCTGGACTTGTAGTTGGAGATTGAGATAAGACATATGGCTCCCTGTAAGCTTGAAAAGTTTAAAACTTATATTCAACTTCAATTGAGTGAAGCCTTAAATCTCTCTGAGCAATTTATACTCTTCTTAGCATTAAATTTAGTAACTGATTGAGCTCAAACTATAAAGGGTTCCGTTAATCGTTTTGTCTCACGGTTGTCACTTAGATATTAATCGCGACGTTTCCAACGCGTACTGCAGGTCTTCGACTTTCATCAGACGTTAGTGTTGACGATAGTGTTACTGAGTAGGACTATTTGTACCACCTTGGTTGTTAGCGATTCGTGAATCACGAACCTCGCTCATGAATCGTGGGTTTCGATCCAAAGCGTTGTGGGCATTATTAGAGGAGGAACTGTTCCCACCGCGGTCCGCTATCGCGATCGCCTGCTGTGTTACCTCATCTTAGGCATCCTCGCTTCAAGAATCTCAATTTCACTGTCCCTGTTGATGTTGTAAGGGTGAAGTCTTATGCAAATAGCCTCTTTAACTCTACGAGAATACCACTGCAGTGAGGGGGGTCTCGGCCAATATACTTAACCTCGTCCCAAAGCGAATAATGTCAGGTCTTATTGGCTGTTGAAAAACGGCTGAGGTTTGAGTTCGTGAAAGCCGTATATTCCCATCGTGCTCCTGAATCCGTTCATGCATGCACCTTCCCGTTTCGTCAATGTATACTTTCTCGTATTCGCAAGGATTCCTATACCCTACTCCATCTTGTTTTTGTGGATCAACAGCATCCTTTGGTCGCACTTAGTGTGATCTAAGTGTTGTGTCGGACTTGAAAACAGATCGTATGCTGCATGCTGTTGTAGCCAACGTCCAACTGGTTTAGATAACCCTTTAAAGGAATAATCTATACCCAAAACGGCAAATTTTACGAAAAGATAGCTTATGGCCTCATTAAAAGATTTTGGGAAAATAAAATGTCCAGTCCTTCTCTATTTGCCAGAAAACGAGGAAAGATTTTCGTTACGCAATTCAAATTTTGTGTTACAGCTAGAAACCGTAAATTACGTAAAAGAAGATCCTGGTCGCAAGACTTCACAACATGGCTTCTATGTTTCCGGTCTGTTTTGAACAGTCAACAAAGGATTTTATGGTTGATATTTCGTGAAGATGTTCTAACACTCGCAAAGACGGAGTAAGTCTCTGTAAGTGGCCTGGTGATCGCCAATATGCCAGACTTTGGACGAAAGCCGTGAAAATCACTCGATCCGACCTCACTGAGCCTACGAATTCAACTAGACTTTGTAGCGCACATTTCACTAAAGACTGCTGTGGAGCACAAAGAGCGATAACTTAGTTTTTAGGCTTAAAGATGAAACCAATAATAAAAGCTGATGCTGTTCCAACAATTTTTAAACGTGAGCCACCAGAAACTACTAAAAAACTGATACTCAAGATAAAGGCATGGCAAATCACTATAATAACATTACCGCAAAATTCCGAAAATAAGCACCAGGGCTTATATTTTTCAAAGACCTTTTTTGAGGTTCTTATATTCGGAGGGTCTTATATACGGAGGGAAATTTGTTTTTCAAAATCGGTTAGGCTTATACTTGGAGGGAAATTTGCGTCTCAAAATCGATTGGGGTATAGCCTGCAGTGCAGGCGCATTATGGGTGGGCGAAACCTCTCTTCGGGAGTTTCAACATGGCGCTTTCGCGAGCAAAAACATTCGTGCGCCCGATGAAAACGCCTGCACTGCAGGCTAATTGGGCTCGGTTATAGATGGAAGGAAATTTATGTAAGCACTGTAATTTGCAGAAAGGTTTTACCGAAACTCGCCTTGAGGACGTAGACCTTTTTAAAACACAGCCATGCAAGTACTTTCTCTATATGGACCGAGAAAATCCAAGTCAAGAAATAGCAATGAACTGTGGCACTTTCTGAGTGCAGTCAATTGGCACACGTAATAGTTCTTTGGCAAATACCGAAACATATATGTTACTGTACCGTTATTGCCTTGTTTTACTTTGTATTTGAGGGCAATTTCCAAGTACAAGCCCCTGAGGGCTTATATTCGGAGGGGCGATTTAACAGAGGGTTTTTTGCGTTACGAGTTTGGGGGGCTTATATTTGGAGGGGCTTATACATGAAAAGGCTTATTTTCGGAATTCTACGGTGTATTAGTTGTTCATGCCTTATATGGCGAGTACATGTTAAAATTCTGTGAAGTCTGAATTCTCATTACTCGTCTGCAAAGCGAAATCCCTCGAACTCAAAGTCATCTCCATTGCCTGAGGGATGGAAGTGAGCCCTCATGCAGCAAAAACAGCAAGCAGCGAAAGATGGCAGGACAACAGGAACTTTCAGCCTAAAATGCCCGAGCGCCACCTCGCCATCTGCTTCTTACTTAAGCTATGTGACAGTTTGTTTGTGTGCTGGGCCTTCGTAAAAGACGCGGTGCTGCTGTTTGGATCCTTACCAGGCCGCCAAGCAAACGGCTTGGAATCCCGGGTGTTGTGGTATGCAAACAGACGGATTAGCTAATGCTTCTGCTTCAACCTCTTCGTTGTTTTTAGCGATCATAGCCACACAGTCAATCTCTGAGCAGTAGACACACTCCTGAAATCGATTTACGCGTTGAAAAAAAATCCACATTTACACCTAAAATTGGGACCTGGCTTTAAGCTTATATAATTCATACAAGCATACTTCCGTAATATGAAATCACTGCATTTCCCAGGAAAATTGCCTTGTACGCATACACGGCTTACATACTTATTTCACAGCTTTAGATCGAAATAATGCTCCAAGAAAACATTGCCAGTCCCTCAGAAGAGAAATTTATAGCGAGAATTATTTTATTTTCTCGAAAGTGTAATAATACCCTCGATCAGTAATGAACAGAATTTGCGATTCAGCATATCTGGTTTAATACCGATCTGTATTTTGCAATCGCTCGTTGTTGCTCCACGTCGGACTCGCTTGTCAAGTCAGTATCCGAGTTTATAAATAGAATTAAAGTAAAAAAAAAAGACCTGCAACAAGGAGTTTTAATGAACATAGACGCCCTTTACTTAAGCCCTCCGGCAGTTACATCGAAACCGTAGTTTCAGAACACTATCTCAGCAATAGCCAAACCTTTTTCCCATGTGTTACTAATCCCAGTTGAAACACATAGATATGAACGCGATTGTCTTAGGGAAGCACGTGAGGCGTACCTCATTCATAAAGCCAAAACCATCGAGCCTCTGGGAATGAACAAACGTGACGAACTATAATCATTATGTAATCTTTACCTTTTTGTTCGGTTTATTTTTCTTAGCAGCCATACTACGTCATACCATGTAACTTTCGTTTTATTATTTTACAGTAGTATATATTCTGTATATTCGTGGTTTTACCTGATACACCTGATGAAGATTGGTATTGGCCGGAGGAAATATTGTATACCCGGCCTTTTTCACGTTGTTTGATCAGTTTTTGCAGTAGTCTTTTTTACTTTAATTCTATTTTTATCTTTTTCGACTGATCACAATCTTGTTTCATCCAACGATGAGCTACATTGATCGTTCACGGGTTTTTGCAGTGGTTTTTATAGCCTTAGGTTGCATCCGAGTTTAATAAAATTGCTGTCATACGGCTCAAACAAATAAGTCTGCTGCCTCTCACACTCTGATAAACTCGAATTGTCGTTTAAACTTTTGTTTGAAGGACGAGAAGAAAGAGAAGAACTATCCTCGGACTCTACAATCTCGTCAGTCGATTTTGGGACCATCTGCGCCCAAGTTTATGAGATTTTTTTTGTGACAGAGTGTTTGGGACCATCTGTGCCCAAGTGTATGGGACCATGTGTGCCCAGGATTTATAGATTTGCTCGGTTTCATAACAATCTGTTTATTGATTATAGGGACTTCTTGTGTCCGGGATTTTACTTTTGAGTGTCGATCAATTCGTATGTTTTGTTTTAAACCCTTCAGCTTCGTGATATAGAGTTTATTTGTTTCCTTTACAAGGCTTATGAATATCTGTACGCTAGATTGTGGTTTTGCGGTGCTTTTATGCTTCGTCTTACCTTTTATTTTTCGTCTTATTGTCTTTAATTTTATCTATTAGTTTCTTATTCTTGTTTCTTGTTTTTGTATATTTGATTTTTTTATCGGTTGATCGATTAATATATTTATTTATTATTTTATTTTAGTCTGTTGTTTGTTAGGCGGGTGTTCTTTCGTTTTTTCCCTTTGCTCTTTGTTAGCTTTGTCTTTTTACAGATGTGTTCAAGTCTGAAATGCGGTCAGAATTTTTCGCCTCAATGCCATAGGACCTTCAGCCAAAAGCTTTTTTGGTGAAAAGCACTGTTCGTTCCTACCTTGGAGGTATTAAGAGATAGAAACTTTGGGCTTCCTCCAATCACGTCTACCATTTTCCATCTAATCCGTTCCAGATAGCAGTCTTTTTGCAGTGTCTGCTTAATGAAGCGTATTCTCCTTCTCCAGTTCTTAACGCGGTCTACAGCAATGACTGGGCGCTACAGTTGGCTGGCTTATCAAAAATCTTCAGTCATCCCCTGGTTCCTTCAACGGTCAGCGCGTCTCAAAGGATTTTGAGCAGGCCAAAAGTCAAAAAAGACCCTATAACTCCTGAAATGTTGAAGGCGTTCGTGGAATTTAAGATAAAGGATAAGTCTCCTTCTCTTTCTGATCTTAGATCTGTTGCGTTATGCCTTATTGGTTACGATGGATTTTTTTGCTTTAGCGAGTAATGTCATATAAAAGACTGCGATGTTAGGTTTTTCCCATCCTATGTGTCCATTTTCCTAGAATCTTCGAAGGGTAACCAGTTCCGAGACGGGGCGTGGATCGTTATCGCGAGGACAGACTTGCCAACTTGTCCAGTCAAGGCTTTGGAGGTCTACATCTCGGAGGCTCAAAACAATCTCTCCGAGGATTTACCGCCGTTCAGAGCCCTCGCTACTCCTTGGTCAGAAGAAAAAGTACGAAGCCAAGAGATTAGCTAAACAAGAGCTAGGGAGCTCATTAAGGACGCCTTTACAGATATAACGGACGTTTCGAAGATTAGTGTTCATAGCCTTAGGGCTGGAGGAGCCACCTCTGCGGCTAATACGTACTGGTATCGCTGATAGACTTTTCAAGTGACATGACCGTTGGGCGAGCGAGAACGCCACGGATGGCACCGTTAAGGACGATTTTAATTCTCCCCTCTCAGTCGCGAAGTCTTTAGGAATCTGATTTATACTTTTTTGTTATTTATTTATTTTTGTTTCTTAAACGTGACCGGCAGGTCGGAAGAGTTCTATCCACAGGGTCGGGGTTTTCCCTCAGCCTTTTCCGCAGCGAGCGCGGTGAGGTTTTTTCATCCTGTGGATGCTCGTTGATTCCCTCCCAGGTTTAGATTTCCTTTTTGTTTTGTTTTATGGGCCTTTCTTTGTTTGCACCTTTGCAGTTGCTGAATTAGCTTACTCAGTAAACTCGTGCGGCCTCCAGCATATGGTGTGTCGTTATTGTTGTCACGCACGGGTATGGTGGTCTGTAGGGAATTTAGACGACAGTCCGCATTTGTATCGACAGGTTTTTGAATTTTATTTCCTTTTTAAGGGATTTAATTTTTCATTAGAAGTGCCATTTATTCGATTTGATTGTCAGTCCTTGAAGTGGGCACCTTTTGGGATCACAGCTGACCTTGTTTTTTACCTATCTCAGAGTTTCTGTTTCGGTTTAAGGTAGAATATCGTGGCCTTAGTTGTCAAGCTTTCATTGGTTTTCTTGTGCCTGACATTATTAACCTGGCTTATAGAATTGTTTATTCCACTTTGGGGATCACCAATTCGTTCAGGTCATTAGGAAGTGCTGTCGTAATTCTCATGTTCAGCAAGCCAGAACATACATTCATTTAAGTTATTTAAGTTTCCAACATTTGGCGCAGTTGTTTTTGCTGTAGTTATGTACAGTTTGGGAGTTTATAGTTATGTTGTAGTTATGTTCAGTTGAGTTGCTGTTAAGTGGAATAATCAAGCGAGTTGCTTGAACACCCCTACATATTTTGGTGGAGAACCCTCCTATTTTGCTGAGCATGGTTTGGTGAAAAACATGTCAGGGGCTTTAAATTCCTCCCTGGAAATCTGTAATCTGTATTGCAAAAGAACAAAGGGACTCTGTTTTAGTCTGGTCATATGTAAAACAAAATCATGATGACCCAACCTTGTATTTAAGTAATGTATAGGGTTGCAGTTGAATTTCCATTATTCTATGGCGACAGGAGAGAAGATGTGCGCGAGTTTATTGATAATTATTGTCGCGCCGGTAAGTTAAATGGTTGGGATGTAGAGAAGTTAGCCTTTGGTCTTCTTCTGTTTCTCAAAAAACATGTCAGTTTGTGGTTTAAGACTTTAAAAGAAGCCAAAATTTTGTCATTTGAAGTGCTGTCGCAAAAATTAATGTCTCATTTTGAATCAAATGTAAATCAATAACAGTTAAGGCAAAAACTGGTTGAGCGCCCTCATTTGTTAGGGGAAACTGCTGCGGATTAATATTTTGATATCGTCTCTTTCCGCTTTCCGCTAAATTTACCCAAAAGTAAATGGGTCTATTGTTTTATACGAGGTGTAAGACCAGAAATTTGTGACCATCTTATATTGCAACTACCGCCTTATTTAGAGTGTCCTTTGAATTTTGCAAAACTGAAAGAGTTGGTAACTCTTAGCCGTAAATCAAGTAGTAATCATGAAGATAAGACTTTTTAAGAATTACAGTCTAAGCCCTCAAAAGAGGATATCAAATAAATTGTGAGGTAAAATTTAACGTGTGGTCTAAAAGTTCCAAAAATAATGGAAGTCATCCTATTAGTCGGAAATTTTGATCTTGCAATTTTCATGTCCGTGGTGGGGGGGGCAGTATTTTTTAGTAAAAAGTCAAAATCGTGCAGATTTAGAAACTCGAAACCCAACTTTAGACGTCTGTGTCGGGAAAACAATATGCTAACTGCTTTTCAGCAGGAAAAAAATGGGCGCTCAATTAGACTGGCTAGCGCCCCGGTCGTGTGTGGTAGTGAACTCGTGTCTAATCCATGTGAGCCTATTGTCTTGCCAATGAGGAAAACCTCAAGCTTCCGTCACATGTCAACATGGGTGTTCTACAGATTGCCAGCCTCAAAACGTCTCTAATGAACATATTTTTCTTGAAGTTGTTAAGTTTCTTTCTCAGCTCATAACTAAATTTGATTGTGTAGTCGCTGGGTCATTGCCAAAGAAAGGCAAAAATGCTCATTCCCGAGATGTACCTATGTTTTCTCCTAAAGGTCAAGTGAATTGCGAGAAGTCTTTAAATGGAAATGTATCTCAAGGAGTTAGTACAACTGAATGGACAAAAGGAAAAACATTGACACCTGAGTTTAAAAATGAAAATTTGGAAGTGAATGACGTAGGGGATAAATTTATTGTTTCTAAAAAGTGCCATGACTTATGTGACTCAAGTGGCCCTGAGCCAAGGTCCCATGTGACTGACAGTGTTTCTTTACCTGTCAGTTCCTGTAGACTTGATTCTATTCATCCTTTTGACGGTGACAATTTCAATATCTCTGTATTAATAGAATTTGTTAAATTTCGTGCTATTATTGACACAGGAGCAGCTGTGACAGCAGTTGATACTAAAGTTTGGAACAAGTATCTTAGTCATACAGATTGTTGTTTAGATTCTCCTTCAACAAGTTGTTTAACGTCTGTAAGTGGCTCTCTATTAGTCATTCTTGGTAAAGTGTGCCTGAATTTTGTTATTAAGTCTGTTGTTCTTCCTTTTTAAGCCTGTTATCAAAGATTTAACTCATGATGTTTTTTTCAGGCAGAGATTTCTTTCTAAAATATTGTTCCAGAATTGATTTTGTAGAGAACTTTGTTCCCTCCCCGAGGACCCCCTCCAATTTCCTGATGGTTTAGATGTTCATCTGAATAGTGAAGTTAATGTTAATTGTCTTTCGTCTGTGCATACTGATTACTCTTTTTGTATTCCGGACAAATCTGAAGTAGTTGTTTTCGGTAAATTAACTTCAATGCCAAAAGGTATAAGCGGTGAAACTAGTTACATTCCCTGGTTTGCTCACGGCTAAGTATGATTTACCTCATCGTTATTCAGCTTTTTGGAGTGTCAGAGCTCGTAAAAGTTTCTGTTGATGCTACTATTTCTTTAAGGATGGTAAGTTGTTAAAGTCTTTCGTAAGGCTAATTTTCAGCAGATTGGAAATGACTTAGCAACATTTGAGATTGGCAAGAACTCTCCTGCTTTAGCTACTCAGCATAGTTCTTCAGATGATCGGCAACAACCTAAAGATTATTCGGATTTTCCTCATTTGGCAGATAGTATTTTGAATAATGATGGAAAACTAAAATTCAAAAATTTGTTTGGTAAATATCGCGATGTTTTTGTTTTTCTTGGGGATCAGTTGGGTAGAACTTCCCTTGTTCAGCATGTCACAGATACTGGTGATGCTATGCCCATGAAACAAAGGTCATATAGACCATCTCCAGGTGTTAATAAAAAAAATTGACCGTCAAGTGGACGAAATGTTTGAGAAAGGAATCATTCATGAGTCTCCCTCTCCCTAGAGCTCTCCAGTTGTTTTGGTCAAAAAGCAGGATGAATCATATAGATTTTGTCTTGATTTTCGTAAAGTTAATAAAGTCACTAAAGTAGATAGCTTTCCAATGCTTTTAGTTACTAATGCGCTGTATTCTTCAGATGGCACAATTATATTTTCAACGTTCTACCTAAAAAGCGGGTTCTGGCAAATAGAGATGAATCCGAACTCGCGTGAAAAGACTGCCTCTGCTACACATAAAGATGTTAGTTAATTTTTAACCATGCCGTTTGGATTTTTGTTTGGACTGAAGCGTGTGCTGAGGCATTTTAAATGCTTAAGTATGCCTCGATTTCTGCACCTGTTTTAGCATATCCTGATTTAGGGGAACCATTTTTGCTGTTTGTTGATGGCCCCACCAGTATTGGTTTTACGTTAGCATAACTTCAAAATGGAAAGAAAGTAGTCATTGCTTACAATGGCTGTGGTTTGAATCAGGCGGAGCAAAATTATAGTACCACTGAGAGAGATGCACCCGCACCAGTTGAGGGAATTAAGAAATTTCAGCCTTATTTACACAATGGCAAGTTTACTGTTGTAACTGATCATAGTTTGCTTCGTTGGTTAATGAAAGTTCAAAATGCTTCTGGTCGTCTTGCAAAGATGGGCCTTTCTTTAGCTACAGTATGATTTTGATATAGTTCATCGCCCTCGTAGAATTCATGGTAATGCTGGTTGTTTGTCTAGATGTCCATATGATTCTTGCAAAATGAGTTAGCTCGAGAGGGAAGATCGTCAAATTTCCCAAACTCGACAAATGTAGAGACGGTGGAAGTGCTGGTTGATGGAAAACAGTAGACAACATCAGATAACGTCGTAACCACTCTAACTCGGTTGTATTAGACAACACCTTCGCGAACCAGTTAAATGACTATTTTCATGAACTTTGTACGGACTTGAATTAGGTTGCACCAGTTGATGTGGTTATCGGCAGCGAAATCGAAGTTCCAGAAATTCCTGAGAGACTCGTTTGGAAAATTCTAAGCAATATCTAACGAACGGCCACGGGTCCTGATGGCATTCTTTTTTGGGAGTGGAAGGAATATCCTGAGATTTTTACGGCAATTCTCAGTCATATTTGGAAATTGTCTCTGCGCACGCACACTTGGCCTGTATCATGGAAAAGATCGAATATTGATCCGATACCCAAGGTGGACACACCCAGACAAAGGTCTAACTACCGTGGGATAAATATTACAGGTTGTCCCAAAAGCTCGTTCCTCTACTTCATAAGTCTGTATTTCAGTACGATTGGACTTGGTAAGCAAATCATTTCAACAAAAGTTGTCTTTCGATATAATTCACTATTTTCATACTTGTTGTGTCATCTTTTGACTCGAATATTCGATTTGTGTACTTCTGCGCCAAAGGTGAGCGTGCGCGAGTATATTTCTCAGCCACATATTTTTTGTATTTCATAGCCCGAATTGCTCGAACTCCTTCCTTGTTTTTTTTGTGTGTGTGTGTGTGTGAATATCACGAAAGATAAACCCCCTTAACGAAAAACGTTCAGCTGCGAGAGAGCATAAGCCTGTATACTTCGATTTATTACTGGCTTATCTGTTGTAGAAATTGCTAAAAAAACTGGAAAAATTCGAATGTTGGGTGGTAGAATGATCATGGAGAAATCAAGGTTTTGAAGGGAAGCCCTGAATAAAGCAGCTAAAATAGTTTTAAAGAAGGCTATATACAAAATAGGAGACTCGACAAGGAAGCTTAGTCTCACATAGTTAGCAAGGCAAATAAAAGGGTCATGAAAAGCTGTTTAAACTGTTTAAAATTAGAGGCCCCTGAGATGTCAAAAAAAACCTCCGCTTAGTCTGCCAATTAAGCAGCTCTTTTCAAATTTGAAAAGAAGTACAAAAGCCTTGCTGTGGAAGGGGGCCGGGATGATTATCTTTTTTGGATGAATGCCCAAAATATATTTTTTTCAGCTGCCTAAACTAAACAAATATTGTTTGGGGGTTGAACTGGATCCTGCGCACCAGGTGATAAAAAAGCTCAAATGAATCATTTGTGGGTCTACACGCTGTATCCCACTTCATGGGGCAACGACTACAGAATGTGATAAAAAAAAAAAAAAAAAAAAAAACACCAAAACAAACCAAAAAGGGCATGCCAGTTACTGAAATTCTGAATACTTGTACTTGAGAGAGAAATAAACATCTTCTAGAAATTTCATGTAACAATAAAGTTTTGATCAAAAGATATAGGGCATGAAATTAGAGGAATGAACTTTTGGGACACCCTGTACTCCGGTTATGGCCAGGGCGTTTGAGAAAGCTGTTAATAACGCCTTTGTGGAGTAGCCTGTAGAGGAGAATCTAAGCACCAGTCAATTTGCCTATCTTGAAAGTGGAAATTCCACTAATGCACTGTTATGGACCCGGCAATTCATCAACTAACACTTAGATAATCCAGACTGTAAGGCAGTAGGAGTTTTGGCCATAGATTTTAGCAAAGCGTTCGACTCAGTTAGGCACGAGCTACTATCTAATAAACTAAAGTTGCTGCCACTGAATGCCTATATCATCACCTGGTATCACAGTTTACTAAGTAATAGAGTACATTGTTCAGTACACAACAACCACTTTCACGAGTGCAAAGGAATAAGTAAGGGGACAACGCAGGATAGTGTGCGAAACCCCTATCTATTCAGCGTGTTTCTGAATGACCCTGAAATCAATCAAGGTTCCACTCCCACCCTTTGTAAGCATACAGATGATTCTGCTATTGTCGCACCAGTGTGGAAAGGGGTAAGAGATACGTCAAGTGGGTTAGTGGAGAAGTTTTTGACCTGGTCGAACGGTAATTCTATGAGGTGTAACCTTAACAAGTGTAAAGAACTTGTCAGCAAAAAGAAAGGGAACTCGACATCCTATCCTGTTGTATGCAATACACCACAACATGCCACTCTTGAAATATTATTTTTGACCTTTCAAAATGACTGTACGTTCGCTGACAATGCAAAAACTAAACTGTGCAAGGCCAACAAATGTCTACACGTTTTAAGACTATGTAGAAAAGAGCGTTACAGCCAGGCAAACTGATTACCTTTTCTATAACATCGTCCTCCCTAACTTAACTTACGGGTTATCTCTTCATGGTGCCTCCGACAAAGGTCTTCATATTTTTCAGCAATTTTTAGACCGATGCCATAACTTACGTCTTATATTGGTGCCGTAAAACATTAGATGTCCACTGCACAAACAGGATAAAATGATTTCGAAAAAAGCTAAACAGTGTGATAACCACTCCCTGAATGTCTGCTTTCCACAAGAGAAGATTGATTTAAAATACTACCTGAGACAAAAGGCTGCTATAGGCCCAAGATAAGCACGGAACGTTTTAAGAATACGTTTGTAAATATATTACTTTTTAAATACGACCGTTTATGATGATTCTATGTATAGAGATATAAAAAGATTTAAAAATCTTTTTATACTTTCCTTGTTATATATATGATTTTTAACATTTTAAACTTTGTTATAATTTTAAATCTTTTTATTCATCTGAACTTTCAAATGCCGGTATGTATTTTTATCTCATGAACAATAAAGACACAGGTTAGATAAATTTTTTTGTAAGGTCGTTGCAGAGGTTTGTAAAATATTTCAAATTCAAAAGTTCAATACTTCTAGTTGTCACCCGCAAACCGATAGTCTTGTAGAAAGAGTTAGTTCCAGCTTGTGTCAGTCTTTGTCGATGCACGTTTCCAAAAACCAGAAAGATAGAGATAAATTCATACCCCTCATTTTGTTCGCACATAGGACCTCTGTTTAGAAGTAACTGGGCATGGACGTTAATTATTTGACTCCTGCGGTTAAACGATTCGGGCACTTCGGTCCTTGATCATCGTAAACGTGTTGTCGAAAAGGACGAGTTGGCGCAACGCAAAATTTAGCAAGAGGAAATTTACAACGTGCAAAGCAAAAAATGAAGGATTATTACAATCAAAGGGCAAAAGAACCTGTTTTCGAAGTTATTTAGCATGTTTGGGTCTATACCCCAAGAACTAGAAAAGGGTTATTCAAAAAGTTAATGCATAACTGGTTGGGTCCATACAGAGTTGTGGAGAAGTTGTCATCAGTTAATTTTAAGCTACGCACGATTACCGATAAAAAAAGTCGCTTTTTCCAGCCGCGCAAATCGTATGAAGCCGTTTGTTGGTCCTAATTAATCTGAGGCTAATTGGCCCTCCGTTATTTGATGACCCTGCCGAGCCACATCTAGGTAAGTCTGATATTCCAAAAGATTGTTTTGAGCCAAACAATTCTTCTGAAGCGAACCCTAAAGACATTGGTTTAAGTCCAACTTGCAATGAGACAACGTTGCCCACACAATCTCTCCAAGAGAAAGAAAACAAAAAACAGGAATCGGATTTCTCAGATGGATAGATAACCAATGTTTCTTAGCTATAAATCTACGCTCGCGAGCACTTCGCGTGTGCGTTGAGCTCCGCTAAAAAGATTGAATTTTAATAAGCTTACCCATTTTTGGCCATGGCGGGAACTTTGCTCTTCGGGCTTCAGAAAAGGTCGTTAATTTTTTTCTCACAGGAAGGAAGTAAAATCAAACGAAAATCGTCTCTGTGATCTAAAGTCAATGCTATGGACATCAGCAAAGATTCTCCTTCGAAACTATGTGGTTTGAAAGGATAAAAAAACAAACAAACTCACGTTCTCGAGACACCACCAAAATGCTGGGACTCGACACCGCGACGTCAGTTGGACTTCAAGATGAATATGTAAATTATGTTCAGAAGGGCTGTCGTGACTTTCGGTTACCGTCTTCTTGGTCGCCGTCCAGGTTTGCTTAAGGTCGCTATTATCCACTTTCGGACGAAATCAAGTTTATTGACCGATACCCTCACTGGGACTATCGTAGAGTTAAAGAGGTTACTCGCACAAGACTTCACCATAACAATATTAACAGTTACAGTAGAATTGAGATTCCTAAACCGTGGATGCCTATACGATCAGACAACACAGCAGGTGATCGCTACTTCAGCGGACCGCTGAGGGAACATTTTCCTCCTCTAACAATGCCAACAATAAGTTGGATCGAGACCCGCCAACCATCAGCGAGGTTCGTGCTTTACGAATCACTGACAACCAAGGTGGTAGAAATAGTCCTACTCAGTAAATCGACACTACCGCCTGATCAAGACGTGCACTGCGCGGTTTAAACGTCGCGACCAATATCTAAGTGACAATCGTGAGACAAACGATAAACAATATACACTTAATGTCAGATCCTGAGGGAAACAGTTAGTTTTGTTTTCCCGAGAGTCCTGATGTTTCCCGATACGAAGTCCAGGGCAACATCAGGACTCGAGGGAAAAAAAGACTAACTGGTTTCCCGAGGGACCTGACATTTAAGTGTTTTGTTATATTTCTAGACTTTCACTTCAACAGCAACAAAAGAATAACCGGAGCGTACCAAAACAGTCGACTCGGTACTTATAACAACACAAATTTCATTCTTAAAACCACTAAATGAATGATTTACAAAGTACTTTCCTTATATTATCTGCATCTTTTTTCTCCACTAGTTGCTGTTTCTCTTCTGGGATGACTTAAAAATCGTTGCTTTTTAACTTGAGGCATCGTGTTTGTGTTCAAGTTGTTGTGTTCATTCACGAAAAGAAAACTGGCAGTGTTTTTCCCGCCTTCTGTCACACCACTTTCCACGATGCTTTGATCACGTGCTGTAATGTAGCCCGAGCCGGGTTAGACCTTAAGATACCCCGATATCGGTGTACGGGTACGGGTAGTGTACCCGTACATGTAACATGTTCATGTGCGTGACTATTTCGATCAAGATACCCGAAGAACAAGCACGCAAAATTAACTTTGTACATGCATGTCGCTTAATGCATACAAAATCTCCCTCAAATTCTACACTTCATATCTTAACAACAAGCTGCAACAAATAATTCATTCATACATAAGCTTATTGAGATATCATAGAAAGATTTTAAGAAACTTGGCGGGAAGTCCCTCGACCGAAAGCTTGTTATCGCAAGCCTCGCCATTTGATTGAGGCACATCACTAAACAATTACTTTGATTGTCCACTTCAACAGTGACTCCCATGCTGAATTTTTCAATGCTATTTCTTTTGCGAAACTCAAACGTTCGAGCAGTTCTCAGAGGTCCCCCCAAATACCGTCAGAGTTCAACCTGCGCATTTCAGGTCCAAAATCAATACATTTGGAAGCGCTTTCTTTACAGCTAAAATTCAAATTTGGCAAAAATATTTGAACAGACTTGCAATAACATTGCCAAGGAGTCTTACAATTTACATTTGTACTGAAAAAGTCTTGAAAACTTACTCGTTTCTCCATCATGTAGGACTTGCAGCTACTCGTAAATCTTCTACGGGTAAACTGGTGTCTACCCCGGAAAAACGGCTGGTTCTACCGGGTAAGGTCGATGACGTCACCACAAAACGAAAAAAACATGGCGCTACCCGTTACCCGTACACCGATTTCGGGGTATCTTAAGGTCTCTAATGTATCGCGATCGGGATACATTTGATTTTAGTCAAGGCCACGTGACCAAAAACCAACCAATGGCAGTCCCTGTTTAGTTGAGTGAAAGTCTAGGAATATAACAAAATACTTTATAGACATTAAAAACGATGAACAATATCTTTCATGACATTGTACTACTCAAACTTTAACTAAAATTTCATACCACTTTTCCTTTGATCATTATAGCATGCTTTTTGTATCCTGTCAGCTCGTACTTAAAGTGATAACCACGTAGAGTAAAGTTGAACACTGGTCCTGTCCACGAAAATGTCACTGAAAATGTGCTATTTCCTTTTTCTAGTGCAAATTCGCCGACTTCTATATTTCGCACCTCGACGTCGTCGTCTGGTGGAACTAAAACCATAGAATAGAAATAGATATAATAACGAAATAATGTCCCGAACACAAGCCGTCCCCCTAAGGCATTAATCGTCATCATCATTCAAAGCGTACCACCTCTTTCACAAGAGTATACCTCCATTACACATCCTCTACAGTGGATGCCAGTTAAACGACGTACTTATCTTAAGATACCATTTAAAAGCGACTGTCTGTAGATATCGACCAAACTCAACTTTTTGTGGCACAAGTTCAAAATTCGGGTTTCGCTCATTTAATTTTTGGTTCATCGATAACCGTTAATGAGTAATGAAACATGTTGTAGTTAGTTTTCCCAAATAACGTGTTCTTTTGTTAAAATTCGAGAAAATCATTTTGCCCGTTCGGAGCTCAAAATTCACTTCCGGTAAAGCGAAATTTTACACAAATTTCATTGACTCGTACGTCAAACCACAATAGTTTGGCAGCCTTTAAAGACACGAATAATTTTTATGACCCTTTCTTTCTTATAAGACGATAAATTTGTGAAAGCTGTAATAATTTCGTGGCCAAACAGGCATTGTTAAAAATAGGCCCTATTGACAATTTCTACCGTTCAAAATTACAGGGATAAAATAATGCAAATTTTTACAATGCGCTATAGCTTAAAATTTCGCAGATTGACTCTCTACGGCTTGACTAGGCCCCAACCTATCAGAAAATCGAAACAAATCTCTGGGCAAACGATTTTAAGTAGCCCGCAAGACCTCGAGTTCAACCCTAACTTTGCGAAAAATGGAGACATTCCAGTGGTTAAAGATAGCGTTACACGGACCGTCACGCAAGCGGTGTTAACGACAGATACGCTTTAAACATTCTATTCAACGTTGATTCCTGCCAAATTCCAGCATACAATGTATATTACACCTTTCAATACACTGGAAGAGTCATTTTGTTTGGATACAACATCTAGTGCAGAATTGCCCAAAAGTCGCCTTTTTTCAGCGACGTCGGCAAGACGTCGACGACCGAGCCCAACGAAACAGACTTTAAACAAGTACAGTAAGGTGTTTTATCAATTTAAGCATCCGTAAAAAGGCATAAAAACGTTAAATTTAAGACGGGGACAACCAATATTAACTAATAAGAACACTTCCTTCTTTCTTGCGAGTTTTCTCGTTCAAGTAATTATGTACAAGTATTCATGTACGTTTCGATGTGTTACTATCACGCTTATAGCGGTACTTTGTAACGAACGTTTCAGAAAATATTTTAACTCGTTTCGATCGACGATGAAACACCATCATCAAAAACTAATCGCTAAAAACTTTCCTCCACAGCACAACGGAAAATAGAAAAAAAAAAGCGGCGTTTTACTAATGCTAAAGCAGGAATAGTTGCAGCGTGAGTATGAGCTTTTAAAATGTCAAATGCTCCTAAATGGACATCAATAGATCACCTGCATCGGCATTGGAAAAAACTCTCTGGCCCACTATGGACTAGCCTGTTCCAAGCGTAGTGGACGATGGCGCGAAATGGGAACGGAGGAAAACAAACGTGGAAGAGAGTAAGAAGGAGAGAGTAGGAGGATCTTTCGCCCTATTTCCCTAACCCCGCCCCTTCGCCATTTTTTCCAGCTCACTTTTCTTTGCTTTTTACCAACTATCAGAAGGCCTGTTACAGGTTAAATACCCACATTCCTTCATTTCCAACGTTTTATGGTATATAGTAACTTGAGCGTCGAGCACTTTTGGCGCTTTGTTACTGATCAGCAGGAACGGATTTGGTAGTACTAACTTTTCAACTTTTTTCTTTCTTTCTTTCTTGTTTTCTTTCTTTTATCTTTTCTTTGTCAGTTTTTATCGCATTTTTTTAGACGTATTTTTCGCTTTCTCCCCAGTCTCACTAACTCTTCCCCTCCCCCTTTTCTGCTCTAGACAGTAAGAGGGAACAACCATTTGTTTTGCTTCAGACCATTCGCTCGACTATTCCTCGTTCTTGGCTTACGCAAAAAGTACGGGCTGTTTTGTGGTCTGAAAGACTGCACTGATTGACGTTTTAGTGTCATGGAAACTCTAGCTGTAAAATTTAACTGCAGACGGACAGGTTAAAAGACTGAAAATTCCTTTCAACAGCGTTTGGAAAGAGAACAACGTCTTCTTCACAAAAAAAAATAATAACAATAAACATAGGGAAACACAATAGAGTATAAGCTGGTATAATACTAAACCTAAGAAGAATCTTGTAACGAACGAATGGGAACACCTAAAAAGGAAAGGCAGACTTGAGCACTTTTCTCATCCTCCGTAGCCTTACTCCATGAAACTTAGACGCCCGTGGTATCCTCTAAAATGTCTTTCCTCATGCTATATATATTACGGATAGGCCCCCTTGGAAGGCACTTATTCAAAGTTTAGGTATGTTTTGTGAGACAAAAGACCATTTTTGATGACCCTTCTGGTCCATTTTCATTTTTCATACAGAATAAAGTAATAGAGGGGACAGAAAAAAATGAAAAAAGAAAACAAGATTCACTTATTATATTTTTTAAAAGTTTGTTGGTACCGCACATATATATTAGACAGCGCACAGCCAACGTCTACCCCCTGCTCAAGGCCTTTCGTCTACAAAAATACCATGTTCAAGACGCTTGGAATTGTATAACCTGTTTAAGAATCAAGGCCTCCAAAACCTTACTTTTGTCTTTGTCACAAAACCGAATTAGACTGAGAGCCTTAGTCTGCTTTACGTAAGTACCGTGTAGATCTCCGGAAGACTTGTTTGCAGCCAGCCCTCAAAGCCCTAACAGACTTCGCCTGCCGCTGGTCAATATATAAGAAGGCTATTCCAAAGGACTGCTCCAGAAAAAAACATTTTTCTTAACATTTGTCTGGGGTAGAGGAATAGCGAGTTTGCTGTTGGTGCCCCTTAAAAAGTAATTAGAGATATTGCAATGATCTGCCATTGCTACGATCTACTATGCACGTAACAAGGCCCCTCAAGGTACTTAAGATATATTACGCATAGTCTTCGACACACCCGCCTCTCACCGCTCCTTGACGAAATGCCCCTAGCGGCAGATAGCGATGAGAGGAAGCTGTATCGCAGGCTTTTGGACACAAGGCTTTTCTACTACTTACATGGGTAAACCGGTTGCTTCACGGTTTGGGTACTGAAATGGTGAACAGAATTCAGGACTGATGAATTTTGATTCCGTTCCGCGTAATCCCGTTTACCATTTGCCTAGCTTAGTTTCGTTTAAGGAAACACGTCTGCGAAAGCCTGAAAGTAATATTCAAAAAAGGTTTGAAGACATGAAATCCGAATTTCCGCCTGCATGAAAACTCGTTTTTTGCAATTGACAAGAGACATTCACTTTCAAGTGA